TCTTTTCGCTCAACCTCGCGTTTATCACGTGTATTATCATGATCATGGCCAGAATCGTAATCGTAATCGTCACGACGACCCTTCTCTTCAGACTCTCGCTTCAATTCGGGTACAATCTTTTCTCGCCAATGTCTCTCTCGCTCAGATTCCCGATCAGGCTCAGGGCGTTTTTCCCGCTGGCGATCGGCATGCACTTCGTGAGTTTCGTGGGTTTCGCCAAGATTTTCGCGACTCTTGCGTTTCGCAGCCCTCTCATCCTGAACACCAGTTTCCGAGCGCTTTGATCGTCGTTTGCCATCGCGGTCGCGTCTACTCTCGCGCCTATCGCGGTCGTCTCCTCGATTAGAGCTTAGCGCTGCACCTATAGCCATACCAGCTACGCCGGCAATAGCAGCCTCTCCAATTGCACTTTTAGACTGCGAGCGCTCCGAGTATCTAGAATCAGTTTCCACAGAATCAAGAACTTTCCTAGAAACCGGTGCTATCGGTCTCGGCTGTTGTAGTGGGGGTGGCTGTATGGGCACGGGCGCAGGGCGGGCTCGGGTAGGAAATTCTCGCAGGCTAGATACAACAGACCCTGCAACATCGAAATTACTTGGATCTGACGTTGGGACGGGATATAGGTGTTGTAATGGACGGGTATCAGACAAGACTTCGCTAGGTGGGATTGAAGGCTCGTATGGTCGACGCGGGGCGCTAACCATGGATCGATCAACCTTCTCAAATCCGCAAGGAGTCTCGACATAACCGTGAAGGGAGTTCACGGGCCCGAAAAGGTTAGGGTCAACTACCGATGGTTTTCGGTGGAGAGGCGGGCTTCGTTGTGGTGATTGGAGAGAGCGAGGAGAACTTAGAAAGCGCGGGGGCGATCTAGGTGATTGAAATGATTGAGGCGATTGAGGCGACTGAGGCGGTGGTATAGCGGAAGCTTGTAAGCTGAGGCCCGAGCCGTATGCTAGTCCAGAGTCAAATTCGGAGCTAGACGAGTCCTCGTCCTCAGAAGCAGACTCCCACTCAGAATCGTCAGAAGAATCACGACGCGGTTTGGAGCTACCAATTCCCCTATTCGAACTCCCGCTATTCGTCCTACGAAAGTGACTCAATGCCGCAGCTGCGCCAATTAGTGTCGAAGGCCGGCTTCTCCCAGCTGCTCTAAGATCTTCGGCATTTTGTTGTCTAGCGATCTCAGCAAACTTCCTTCCCAATTCAAGTATCTCTTCGTCAGTCTGGGAGCGTCGCGAAACCTGTGCCCTCCCATGGCTACTGGTAGGAGGGCTGAATTCGCGACTCCCACCCTTCTCAATATATCCCTTTCCGTAGGCGAGATCAGAGCCCACAGACGACGAAGAGGAGTTTCCAAATTTCAGGAAACGCCTCTTCTTCTTTACGCGATGTTGCTTCTGTCCACCACCAAAAAATTTACCCAAACCAAATCTCTGCGAGGGTCGGGAGATGTTTAATAAGGAAGAAGAGGTAGAGGATGAAGATGATAAGGGAGAGAATGCACGCGATCGTTCTTCTTGAGGTTCGTTTCGTTCTTCGTAGCGCGTCATAGGCAATGGGACTGACTGAATCTGAAGTTGCTCTCGAGAATCCCTTCGCTCTTTGCGCCGGCGGCGAGATTCGGGACTCCGCCGGCGATGATGCTCTCGGGTCATCATCTTGAAGGATTGGACTTCCTACGTGTAATCGAGTCCATTCAGAAACACCTTCCCGATGATTAATGCTAAATAGAGAGTATATTAAAAGATTATTTAGGTTCGTATACCGTCGCAACGGCTCGAAAGTCGAGTATAAGGTATAACGGTATAAACGTTAAGTTGTTTTGTTTAGATCCCGACTACGAACAGTGGGGACTTCAATATAGGTAAACGGTAAACGACCAGGTAAGGTTAAAACACAAAACCGAGCTTTGCGGGCAGCTGGTTGCTCTTGCTCTTGTTTCTCTTGGCTATTTTGATGGGCTGGGAAGTTTTGCCCCACATTAAAAGGCCTGCTACGCTCTGAGCTCCTAATAAAAAAAAAAAAAAAGATCAAACAGAAACAGCGAACGCTCGGGGCTTCTCGAGAGAACGGGTGGCTGGGGTTTTTCGCCGCTTCTCACTCCTTGTCGCAAATAATTTAAAAAGTTGGAAGGAGGCCTTCAGCTCTAGGCGGGGAGGGGATTCGGCGATAAACCCATCACGTGCAATACATCCAAAGCTGTCCTATTACTGGCCAGCATCGACCCAATTGCCATCCTTCATCGTCAAATCGATCTCTGGATTAATATGGACTGCCACGTCAATGTGCCGCCAGTGTGCCGCGTGCTAGCCAGTCTTTGCCTCACACACCTTATAGCACAGATACAGCACGGATACAGCACAGACGGATAATATCCGCCTCTCTACCTAGGGCTTATACATTCTGATGGCCGATGAGCTGACCTTTCAATCATGAAGCTCTACTCGTCGACTTCAGCTGCACCATACCAGCGCCAGCAGCACCTAAGGCTGCCGTGTGTCCTGAGGGAATTCGTCTGCTTATATTAGCGATACCACATAAAAATGGATTGACGACACAGAAACCTTAGCCACGACATCAGACCAGTCTCATTTTTCAATCAGCATGTTTCAATCAGGCGGTAAACTAGAGATTCTAGTTACAATATTCTGTACACATGTCTTGGAAGCCTACCTAGTGTAGGTGTCGTGGTCGTTGATATTAAGGACGGTGGTGGCAAAACGTAACATCGATACCTGTGTTCGCCTTTCTTCAGTCGACGGCTCGGGTTTTCGGGTTTCCAATAGGAACTATCGATTCCTTCCTATCCGTCGAAAATGAGCTGAGATGCTATGAAGCTAGTCAACTTCTGAATACTTGCATGCATAGAACAAGTTCTTAGCGTTTTTACAGGATACATCTATTACCTCGGTCAGTATATAAGAAAGAACTTTAATCCAACGCGCAGGATTCATCACTTTGTTAACTCGTGTCTTCAATTTACGGGTATTACAGTTTCGTAAGAAATTCCCGTTCTACTAACTGCCGTCATAAGACGAATAAGTTCAGGTCTTTTATTCTTACGGATACATTGCTAAGGAGGACGAAAACGAGCAAGCTGAATCATACTTAGGCATACGACACACCTGCCGAGATGGGCGAGCTGACTATATTACAAGTGCCAACTACTAATTACTTAGGCAGGTACAATACCACTTACGACTTGCGATAGTCGATACGAATCATGTAAGCGGCTGAAAATATATTTAGATACGTGGCTTTATTGCGAAATAGGGCTATCGAATTGAATCTTACAAGAAGGAAATAATTCGTGGTCGAGTTGCCGACCTACCGTCCTGTGCCTGTTGATGTTAGGTCTTTTCATTTGTTTGTTCGTTTATTACTTATTAGATAGATGTGTGTAGGTACCCTTAACAAGGGCCGTATAGGACTATATTGCTAAGTGATCATGAGTGATAGGCTAGTAAATGCTCGGTCCTATCCTACTAGGTATCATCCTCGTATATAAGTGCCCTAGAAGAGATCTAGAACGAGCGAATGATACCTTATTGAGTTAGATGGTTTAAACGCTTCAGCGTAGCTGTAACAATTTGGTAACTGCAGGAAGCCTAATTCGATTAAGTACCTTCTCAACCACATGGGACAGGGACATACGGGGGAACAAACTTAATTCCTCCTACTATTGATGTACTGTATGTACATGCACCTGCTCATCACGTTTAATGTTTATCAGAATGACTTCAACATTTGAACTTTGTCCCTGAAGATCGAAATAGCAGAGTTCATGCACAGGTACATATGTAAGGGCCTAAAGTTAAAAAGCTAAGAGTTTCGAATTGAATTCAAAGCACGTCATCTTGTAACACGACTGCACCGAAGCTCTTCAGAAACGCATTCCAGCAGCTTCCCATATCTGTCAATCTTGTCATTACATAACCCTAGATATGCGATCCTTCTCATGTACGGATGCGGCAAGATACGGGGATTCATTGGTTGCATTGGTTGGCTTGTGCGACTTGTTGCTCAGGCCAACATCATTCAGCGAGTCAGATCCATCCATTTCCCTCACGTAAAATTGTACTAACATCTGTACTATGCTGACTGCCTAGTACTAGGTAGGAATAGTACTTGGGGATACAGCATATGTATACTAGTAAGTACCTATGTACATAGTTGGTACTAAAAAGCGCCACCTTGATACTACATATATTGATAACTAGGGTGATAATTATAAAGGTGAAATAAACATTTAGAAATGTCAATTGATATTCAGACGATGCGCTTCACCATGAAATTATATGAGACTATCCCTTATTGCACATACAGCCATGCTGCAGCTTCCAAACAGTTGACATCCTTCCGTTCTGCATTGCTCTTTCTATACTCCATAGTTATTAAGTTTTAGGATGCAGAATAGAGGCCACTTCAAATCTCAACGGCGGCTCGTGGGGGTCCACAGTCCCACTCACAAATCACAAATTTAATAGATGTAACTCTTGGCTCTAAGCAATGTCGCGCAGGATGGAGGAAAGAGAGAGAAGAAAAAAAAAATTAATTATTCGGTTCAACGCTAGACTGGGTACCAGATACGGTTACTACACTTATCATCAATCCCTGCACATAACGAGAGGGAAAGTATGGAACGACAACATTGAACACCGTTGTTTCTTAAATTCGTCAGTTATATCGTCGGAGGTTGAATCTCATAGATACAGAGACTTTATTTCCTTCTCCGTCGGAAAGTTCATTCATAATCGTAATCTACACAAGGTCAATTGTTCTGTCGCAGTCCTGTCACCCCCTGAGACAACTCACCCTTTGTTACCTTGACTACCTCCTACCTACTGCCTACCTCTGAATCCCTGAAAAAAGTGGCTGCAGCCACCTTGGCCTTCTGGCATTCATCTCCGTTTTCGCCTATGACTGTCGACAGCCTCTTATCTTGAGGACTGTTGCAGAAGGTACATTAAATCTGGCGCCCGTCGACTCCAATACCGAAGTTAATTCTTCATCCTTTAGCGACCGCCCTGCGATCGCCCACCGTCGAAGGCGATCTTCTGTCGGCAGCGACTCTGGTAATCGCGTGTCTCCTCTGCGTCTGGGCCACCAGGCCCAGTACTTGCAGCCAACTTTAAGTCCTATTCCTGGTACGTTGGCTGCTTATCTACTTTCCACCTCTGACCGAAAACAAAATCGTGTAATATGTGTAATCTGTGTAATCTCACTAATCCGGATCACGCCGCAGGCACTCCCAACATCCCGATGTCCTTGAGTAGAAGTCCCTCCCCAGTACCCGGAGGAGGGTGGTCTTCTCCAGGTCTCAACATTAATACCAGCGGTCGATCCAGCCCAGCGAAATCCTCCTTTTCGGGTCCCAACGGCAGTTCTGTAACCTGGGAATCCGCAAGATTAAAAAGCCAGGGTGTCACTGGCTATCCTTCATTTTCTACCCAAAATCAGGGCTTCTTTACGCGACACATGCGGCGCATCTCGAGCAGTTTACCATCCTTTAACGTGGCGACCGATGAAAGATATGCGGAGAAAGAGAAGCTCGGACGAGGCAGGTGGAAGATTCCGCTACTAGGAAGGGTCAGAGCAATGATCGCAAGAATGGGTAGAAAGGGGAAGATACGTGCGCTAATAGCGCTATTATTACTCGCGTGTTACATATTATTCTACATCACACGTGAGTTTTAACTCTATCTTATGCCGTTTAGTTCGCTAACCATCTGTCAGCCTTGTGGTATCATTGGAGAAGAACGGGCTGGCTAGGAGGCGGGGAAAAGTTTGTTATTATACTTGCCGCAAACGTCGGAGGCGGCGTGATGGAATGGAAGGGAGCGCGTGAGTGGGCTATCGAAAGAGATAGTGTCAGAAACAAACGAAAGTATGTCGGAAGATGGGGTTACGATCTCGAAGTTGTCGATATGAGTACCAAGAAGCGATATGCGCACGAATGGAGAGAAAGCTGGGAGAAGGTGGACAGCATCAGGAATAGTTTTCGGAAATATCCAAAAGCTGAATGGTAAGTTAACAAGCGCATACGCATACGCATATGTATGTGCCACGAAGCTTAAACATGCTAACATGCTGCAGGATTTGGTGGCTGGACCTTAATACGTTTGTCATGGAACCCTCCTATTCGCTTCAACGTCATCTATTCAACAGTCTAGAGAAGCACGTCTATCGCGACATAAACGAATTCAACCCCCTCAACATATCGCACCCCATCAAAGCCAACTATCTTGACCCGGTGTCAACGAGTGCAGTGGGCGACGGAAATATTGATTCCGTGAACCTCATCCTATCTCAGGACTGTTCGGGGTTCAATCTCGGCTCATTCTTCATCAGACGAAGCGAGTGGACCGACCGCTTACTGGATATATGGTGGGATCCAGTAGCCTATGAACAAAAGCACATGGAGTGGGAACACAAAGAACAAGATGCGCTCGAACAACTATACACCACCCAACCGTGGATTCGAAGTCACACAGCCTTCCTTCCACAGCGACTTATCAACAGCTTCCCCACCGGAGCGTGTTCGGATAATGGAAACGACACCCGCATCCACTACAACGAGAAAGATCGAGACTTTGTTGTGAACATGGCAGGTTGCGAGTGGGGTCGTGATTGCTGGGGGGAGATGTACAACTTCCGCGAGCTCAGCTATTATCTAAACCGAAACCCTTGGGAACGATTCAAGGAGGACCTCATTGCCGTTATCTGGTTTAAGTTGACTGGCCAGAAAGTTAAGTGTACGTACACGTATTTCCTTTATTTCCGTCCATTCCCATCTATTCCTAGTACTACTCGCCTCTGTTCACTTTTGTCGGTTTACATACACCAATTACTAACTATGATCGTTATAGTATAGGATAACTCTCTTTCGGCCCCGTCAATACCCTGATCTCGACGAGGTTCCTGGTTTGGATTGTCGGGTCGCACTTTTATGTTTTTCTTTGGGAATGTTAGATTATTTGTCCATGACTACGAAATCTGATGTTCTGTCCTTCCTAGTGGTGCGACCAGTAACTTCGCTGTTCGCTCAATATACCCATTTTGCATCCCAGTTGAAAGGACGTGTTTCTTAAGTCTTCTAGACTTCACCTAGTGCACGATTGTATCTTTCATCCGCTCTGCATCTACCCATCATCCATGAGAGTAAGATAATTGGCGTGTTTGAGATTACGAGATAAAGGAAAACTGCTCAGTAGTTCATGAGCACCTGTATTGCTATCCATGTATAATATGTCACCCCCATGACACCGAGGGGATCAACAACTTGATCATCTCCGGCTTTATGCTCTCTATCAACATTATGTTTGTCGATTTGACTCATGTGTGCTTTAAAGCGAAAGTATCCCTTATTTGATTTACTTAAAGCAGCTATTACCACACAATAGTACAGTATGTTTTGATCATGGATGCAAACTTACGATAGGGGATGACCTCATGATATGTGTATATTGTATTATCTATTATGCGGATCCATTTTCAGACGTTTTATTTGTTGGAATCTATCAGCATAAAAAATTAGGTACCTAAACTCGCTCTTGCCAAATGTCTAACATAGGATCATTATGGATGCTAAATCGGAAAGAGCTCTACGAGTCTAGGCTTTAAAGACTATTAAGATTTGGAAAGCAGCATGTTTGCCCTAGATACCTAAGTACCTACCCAACTATATGATGTATCCAACGTAGGATATATTCCTAACTAATCCTCGAGATTCAATGAATGTTTTAATTTCTACCCCCAACCTGATCGATACCTGAGCCATCTTCTCAAACTCTTCCTTCGACAATTATTTCCACCCCCAGAGCTTTCAACATCCAATTCGCGCAGTAAGTCTATTAAACCCGTAACACCGTCAATATGGGTGTCTGGGGTCCAGGTCTCATGCAATGTGATGATGACTATGAGATTGCCAAGGATTTGTCGGAGATGTGTGGATGTCAACTCCTCTTCGAAGGCGCTGGCCAACATGAAAAGAAAGAAGACACGATCAGAACCTTGAATGGCGGCGTCTTCTCCAAGAAATTCGACCGGATCTTTTCCGCCAATTCCCGACCTCTTACAAGCCATCACAGGCGTGAACGTCTGCTTATTATCTTCGCCATGCTCGCAATGAGGTTAGGTGTCAGAATAGAGAGTGATCACTTGAGACATCTTCATCTACTTCGGCCCTGGCTTCCCACCATGGAGCAACAACTTCAGCTATTCACCGCAGTCGAGGAATACAAGAATGATGGTACACCTTGGATTACAGGCTCGAAGAATCTCGCAGAAATGCAGACTAGCAAGGCAAATCCGGGCCTCGTTGATCCCTTCTGGTATAGCGGTTTAGGGTTAGTCACAAGCTTCACAATACGAATTATGATTGCGTCACATCACCAGAACCCCTTTCGATCCATCACCACTTCAAATAATAAATTGCTGACTATATTTCTATTGGCAGGCACTCTGCAGATGAGAATCCTACGGCGGAGATGAGTAGCAAGTCCTGTCTCAGTTGTAGAGATAGTGAACCTCGCCTTCGTTGTTGTTTGCGTTGCAAGATGGCTCGATACTGCAGTAAAAAGTGCCAGCGCCACGACTGGCAAGTCCATAAAAGAGTCTGCGAAGTTCATGAAAACCCTCGTGTCTCCGTAAGTTGCAGCATTTGCCTGTTATGAATCTGTAATCCTAGTCTTACCATATCTGCAGTCCACCAAAGAGGAGCTAACAACGCCGGTGACCAACACGATGTAGCGTGTAGATACTCCTCTTCCGATGCATTAATCGAGGTCTCCGCGACCGAGCGGATGAGCATGGTCCAGGCTGGTTGACTTTGAGGACGCTACTAGTATTTTTGATTTTAGCTTGCTTTTTCTTTTTAAGATTTCGGGAGAAAACGTGGAGTATGTAGTCGGATGTCCCGGAATAGGACTTGAAGGTCTTTTGCTAGGTAGCACATGAATTTGACGATACAGTACCTAGTCGCACAAGACACCGCCACGAAAGCTAGGGATTCAAGACAATGAGAAGATGTTCTTTTAAATATGAATTCAGTCTGGGCAGTATTAGTGTGACTAGCACTAGCATCCTATGTTAGACGGTCATAAGATGATCCGTTTCATGCGCTCAATTATCAGCTGGAAATACATAGTTGTGAGTGAGGCTCGGTCTAGGATGTGTGATAAAGTGATCGGCATCTGGGATCATCCTACATATCTAAATTGGGCAACTTAGATCTAAATTCATGTGACAAGTACCTTTGTCCCTGACCCTAGGAGGCAGGCATTAAACAAGAACGAAATGGAATGTAACTGTCGCTCGACGATTAATCATAATACTATCGCACGAATGGTTCCCATCCGAGGAGAATGGTCTGAAATGTAACAAACAGAGAACACAAAAGCAACCTACTCTATCAAGTGGGCGTACCAGTTGCGAGAATCTTTCGACTCTTAAGGACTTAACAGTTGAACATACTACCTACATTCTATACAAATAGTAGGTATTGTTAAGCTGATTTCTTGTTTAATCGACAACCTATATATAGGTTATAGAGGAACGCGGATAGGCAAAAGCAAGACCTAAATTGATTAGCTCAGCGGCGCAGACGCATGAAGATATGGGATGCATAGAATCCTCCGAACTCACGACCCATAAGCTTTTTTTAAGCTCATCTTAGCAGCCGAATCTAATCGAGGGTTCCAGTTATAGAACCAAGATACCGAAGACCATGTATTCGGTCCGCCTCCATTCATGGGACTTGGGCACGAAATAACGTGTGACTCGGAGCTGAACTCGAGAACCCTGGGGTTTTATACATAATTTACACAATTTAGTTGACAAATCCTTCGAGGTGAGGTCCGGAAGGATGCCGAAGTAGCAATTGCCAGCAGGTTGAAATAATGATATCCAACGAATTATCCAAAGGAAGCAGGACGTTTCGAGTAGTTTGTTTCGCCTTGCCGTTTCAGAAGCGGGTCGACACCCAATCACCAGTTGTGGCGCGTATGCTTCGTCCCCCCATCACGGTACTAGGTCACTGTACCAACTGATGAGGTAACGTTCTCAGTGCCTGTTACGTACGGTACTTACAGTGGAGGGTACAGTACGTTCTAGTGAGTGGTGGGGGTATTAGGCGGGCGTTAGGTGCGGGCAGGCGCGGGTCAAAAGGGGCTGGGCGCTGCCAAGATTGTGGCGGCCGGAATTCCCAGCTTCGATCAACTACGTTCCATCTATTGGCTAAGAGCTCTTCTTTCTTAACCATCATAGAAACCGACCACATTCACAGACCTGCCTGGTAGACATTCTTCATAGGCAGTTTCGATGTCTTACCCCAGCCCGGTCCTCTTTTATCTGAAAGATTGCGTTTTGATACAGCAACATTGGCGGCATGTCGTCCAACCAACGTTACCATAGTTCTACCTTATCTTCTTTTAATGTTCTCATTGAAGATGTTAGCCCGTTAGCCCGTTAGCCTAGCAGCCCAGTAGCCCAGAATACCTTGCTACCCTCACATGCTCATGGTCAAGTCTTTAAGGAGGTTTCAATGTTTGTATTTCACTTTCACTTGACTGGCACAATAAGCGTATGTCTTACGCAGTTGTCCAATACTATGCATTACTGAATATGGCAATGTTCCTAATTAGTTAAACTTAATATGACTTTCTTTCAAGGATATCTAAACCATCTTACATCTTTCCTAACCACTTGCACGAATTAGGGTTAACGTGACATATCACGACCTCTCCTACCCTAGAATTCCCCGGTGAAAAAAATGCGATCCTGAATGTGCCTTCCTAATTTATCTTAATCTATGTCAAGCGAGGAAGCATCTAGTGAGATCCTATTGTTCTTTTCAACCTTCCTTTGGAACTCCCGAATCTATTAAATTCGGCGGCTGCTGCTCCGGTTAGCACAGCCTGAAATAAATCACAACCACCTCAAGGTAAATTCCATCCTTTCTAACCTCCACCTAACCGTGTCATTTCTCATTCTCACACTTATCTTTAAAAGTCCAGTCGTCGTTCCTTATGCGGCTCTAAGAAAATAAAAAAGAAATAAAAATTCTTCGAATCATTCGTGTCTCTCCTTACCCACACGTCTACACACAAGCCACCGTCGGATCACGCACTCCTTTGTTTGCGTCACCAATTGTTCTATTTCGACACATGACAAACAACGAATTCTTCTAGCTTTGCTATTGTTCGTCCACAAGTAGTCATTCAAGTTCAGAACCACTCTTTTCAAGACTTGACAACCCATTGTCATTTATTTAAATTTCAAAGGCGGCCATCGTTTCGTTCACCTACCCAAGGCCTACCATTCATTATTGATATCGACTTATCACCTTCCTTCTCGACCTTCATTTCAATATCAAATCATAGTTTATCGTAGACTTGCCAGGCGCAAGAATCTCCCCAATATTTGGGTCCTTCACATCTATTTTCTGTACATAACATATTTTTCCACATTTCATTCCGAGTCAACATGACCTTCACGAAGATTATCGGCGGCGCATTGGCGCTCGGGGTCGCGGCACAGGCTGCCTACACGATTCAGGATTCTTACGACAGCACTAACTTCTTCGACGGCTTCGAGTTCTTCAACGAGCCGGACCCAACCAACGGCTTCGTCAACTACGTGTCGGCGACTGAGGCTAACGCCATGTCCCTCGCCGGATATGCCAACGGCGGCATCTACCTGGGCGTGGACGCGAACACCACTAACCCCACTAACGGTCGTTCATCTGTCCGAGTAAGCTCCAAGAAGACTTACAGCCAGGGCCTTATCATCGCCGATATTGCCCACCAACCGGCTGCTGTGTGCGGAAGCGTAAGTAATTTTTATATTTTTCTTTCCCCATATCCCATTACACCAAGAATAAAAAGCGAACACTTGCTAACTTAAATTACTGTAGTGGCCTGCCTTCTGGACTGTGGGCCCCAACTGGCCGTCCAGCGGCGAGATCGACATCATTGAGGGAGTGAACATGGGAACGAACACCACCTACACTCTCCACACCGGCTCCGGATGCACGTTCTCGCAGGGAGACTGCAACTATCCCGGCACCGGCACTAGCGGCTGCCCAACGGCGAGTAACGATGTGCTGACTCTCGCTGACGGCTTTAACGCGATTGGTGGAGGAATTTTTGCGCTGGAGTGGACTTCTTCAGCAATTAACATTTTCTTCTTCCCGCGCACGGGCTCGATTCCCCAGGATATCGCCGCGGGGAAGCCGGACCCGAGCAAGTGGGGATCTCCGCAGACTTCCTTCTCGGGCAGCGGCTGTGACATTCCGAGTCACTTCAAGGACAACCAAATTGTCTTTGATACCACCTTCTGCGGCGACTGGGCAGGTAAGGTCTGGCCCTACGACCCGGTCTGCAGCAAGAAGGCTGCCACCTGCCAGGACTATGTCGCGGCCAACCCGACTGCCTTCAAGGACACTTACTGGCTCATCAACTCCGTCAAGGTTTACTCCGGCGCTACTAACGGTACCGCGATTTCGAGACGACGATTCCACGCGTAAATGCAGCCACCCATATATATGATACCTAGGGAAGGCGGGTCCAATCTTCTGGGCGTATATCTCTTCTGGGGAGGCTTAGGTTTTGCGGGCGTCGGGGAGGGAAGGAAGAAAGAGTTGATACCCAGAGGCTATCTCTTAGCAAGGCATTTGCTTTGCATTTTTTCTTCCTCTTTTTTTCTCTTTGCATCTGTCGCCATCTTACCCTCAAAGGAAACAAGGAGTTTTGAGTGGGAAGCATGCTTATCTTACGAGGGGCGGAGGCGTTCTGTCGGATGGATAGCAAGACAGTGCGCAGTGCAAATGATGGAGGGGCGGGCGGCATTAGCATGTTTTTGCTTTTTTTCGATTCTATTCGATTCTTACACTTGTACATATTTTTTTCTCTCGCATTTCTTCCTTCTGCCACCGCGCCGAGGCCGTAGTTCGGCTTCGGACGCGAGATGAGCTAGGAAAGAGAACATGGACATGAACAAATGATAGCAATAAATGATAGCTATATTGCACTTACAACTCTACGCGGCCCTTTCTTCTGGCTAGTGTGATTGCTGTTGGGATTTTCGTCTCCCAAGTTTTCGTGGCGGTTTGAAGGTCTAGTTACCTATGGAGATTTCGTATAATGTAATGTTCGTGAGTTGGTAGATTTTTTTTTTCGGTAATATGTAATCAACTTCTTCGATGGCTCTGAGAGTTAGCAATGCGAAAAGTGAGATAATTCGTTTGATTTCCTTCTAATTTCCTTCGCTTTCGTTCTTATCGGAGAATCATCACTGTCACTCCGTACTTACTACGTGCTTCTTAAGCCCCCTCAAGACATTACATACCTGGGTAGGTAGGTATATGGATGAGACTTACAAAACGCGTCTCGGGGTTCCCGTAGAGCAGTACTTCGGATTCCGATTATCAGAGTGGACCGAAGGCGGTCAGATTTCGTTTCGAATATGTCTGTAGTGGGCGCCGCCAGTTCGAACTCTGCTTAAACAAAGGCGACACAGTGATGAGTTCCGTTTGACTCGTTGAAGGGCAAGGAAAGGACGGTGAGTCCGGGTTATCTGTTTCCTCTATGTGTGTGGGGTTTGTCTTGGTCTATTGTAGGAAAGCCACAGTCAGATTAGCAGGATAGACAACTAGGATATGACGTCCATCAACCCGTGGCGAATCTATCGTTTGCATGTCGAACAGAGACCTTCCACCAATTTGGAAACTGGCAACTGGAGCGCGAGACGTGCATAGACATTTCAAAGAATCATGTTTATGTATGCATCGGGATCTTGCGTCGAACAACGAGCCGACCTGCAAATGGCGGTGGTAGATGTCTTATGTGTTTCTCATCTTAGCAAATAGAAGAAATAGGTAGAACAAATCGGTTTACTATGAGCGACCAAGACGCCAGCGTGTACTCTAGATGTGAAGATTCTGATATATAAAAAGGGAATAACGTACCTCTGAGAAATCCGATCTCATCCCAACCTACCTCCTTGCTCTTCAGTGATGTGTTTTTATTACCCTACTGCCAAACCGAAGAAAAGCAAGAAGGCCAGAAAACCGACGCCTGCGAATAGTACGACCAGCAGCGAAAGTATTCAAGACAGCGCACGCATGTTCCCAGCCGCAATGAATCACCCGTACGGGATGTACGTCCCATATGGCGCGGGGCAACGTTTCGAAGAGTATGAGCCTAGCTATATCACGAAAGCCCAGGCTCAATGGGCTTCCCATGGGGAGACACTTAAAGGAACTCTCGGGGCGGTAGCGAAGAATGGGAGTAAGATAGACGACGTGAAAGCTTGTGTTTCCGATGGGTTTGCGGAGACCCGAGACTCTTTTAAGAATACCCAGCAAGCCGTCAGGGGAACCCACGTCGCTATCAATGACACTTATACAGCAGTTGGGGACGTCCATAACACTGTCAAGGAGGCTTACGACACTATTCAGAAGAACCACGGCGAATATGCGGCAAAGCAGGACGGATGCGTTGCTGAGATTCGTCAGGTTCGAACGTTATTGGAGGACGAGGCGAAGAAACGAGAAGAGGCACGTCGGAAACGGCAAGGCATGCAGGAAGCCTGGGACTATTTTCAGTGGTTCCAGCAGACAGAACGAGAGGCGGAACCGAAGTCATCGAAAAGTAGTACCCGAACGCAATCAAGCGGCAGTAGCAGTACTAGCAGTAAAAACGATAGTAACACACGGCGTAGACGGCGAACGCCACCCGAGGACCAATACGAGCCGGAGAAGCGACAATATCAGGACCGAGATTTCAAAAAGGCAGTTTGGGAGTATATGGATGAGATTTTCGGCGACGGATATCCGCATGCTGACCGCCCCGAGAAACATCATGAGAATCATAACCACTTCTACACATACCCTCCAGCGACTCCAACATGGTCCGGTCAGTATCCTTCTGACCCTTGGAATGGTCGACAGCACGCCCCTCCACCATATCCGGGTTGGGAAGGGTTCTACGATGATAATGTTGATGACGATATGGGTCGACATCGACCTCCTAGACGGTCATATAACGCACCGCGAGGCGGCCGTGCTCGTAAGGGTCCATGGTAATTTATTTAGCGGATGTAGCCAAATCCCTTCGGTGATATTAGTCATGAAAGGAACACGAATTGAAGCAACACGAAGTCGGAATTCTCACGTGTCACAGCATGGACCACGAATTCACCATGGTTTCGCAAGGCGTTCAAAGCGTTCAGCTTTCGAAGTCTGGAATTTTCCAATCCCATGCGAGTGATGCGAAACGAAGCGAAGGTTCAGCCGCACTGACCTTCTCCAGCGTGGCGTGGCTGCGTGGATGATAGAAAGATTGGTACTCTCCTTTCATCTCGGGATGGCGAGGCCAGTGGAGAAGGCTCATTTCAGTGGTTATATTGGCGATCTAGGGCGCGTTTGATTTTGGTGGGGATTTGAGATGGATCAAAAGTTTCCTTGATCAGACTCTAGGATGGCTAGCTTGTCTAATTGCCAGACATCCTAATTGCCTGATCGAGATGGCAAATCAGATTTGCTTGAATACTGTAGAAACTGTGTAAAATATCCCGAATATCTCGGTTCGATCTAGTACTCCGTAGTCTGATCATATGTAAATCTTTAGTCGAAGACCTAGTTAGGTAATCGAAGAATAGCGCAAGGCGAAACCATGCCATGCGCAACCATGCTAGCAATTTCGGGAAATGAAGGAAAACCACGTCGAATCAATGCAGCCCAGTGGGTGAATCGCATAGCTAAATGGCTACCCCCAAGTAACCATGGAAACTTGCATAAAATCCATCTTCTCAGTCAGTCGGTAAAAATGGGATGATGTGTTTTTGATTCATCGGTTACTGATGTTTGTGGGTTTCTGGGTTTTGGATGGTGACTGAAGACAAACATGGTGTTGTTGTAAGAGGAACAATTTTCAATGGCTGGGAGATAGCACGGACTTGGCATGAGACCATACCTAGTAAGGTACGTACATTGAGCAATATTCCAAAGTTTCCTTTTCTTTCCTTTTCCTAATCGACCACCGATGCGCGTTACGTGTGATTGGCTGAAGTGGAGGTGAATTGGGTTTAATTCATCCTTGGCAGCCCTACTAAGGCTAGCGTAATTGATCGGTTTCTCTAAGGAGGAGCTCGGACAGTAACGCTAAATCTATGCCCTTGTTTAGTTTCCGATGGGCTCCAATAACAAACGGACCGCAATGCTTTGTTTCCACCTTTTTCTGCAGGAACAACAACGCTGTAAGCGCTCCAGGAACACGCAGCTTGTCCAGCTGTCTTAGTTGTCGTAATGGATCCCATTTCATTTTTCTACCAGTAAGAGAGCTTTAGATAACACAATAACATAAAGATTTTTTGTGCGAAAAAATTATCTACTCACTAGACAATGGATTTTTACAAATCTAAGTGGTAGTTAGACGAGATCTCCACGTAAATATAGGACTTAATAGGACCTACCAGAGGCCTAGACTCCTTTTTGCGATTGTTGTCGCAATAAGTCGCAATGAGAACGCGGTCAAAAGCCTATGATGAGCAGGGGACAGTTCCGAATCACCCTTGTCTCTTCCCGGTAGACGTTTGCCGATCCACATTAATCTTAAGCACCATCGAGGCGTATGTGCTGGTTGTATGCCTTGATTTGACCTAGTCTGCCCATTCTCGTCGTCTCATTGGTAGAATTCAGTCCGCAAAGAAAAAATACTGCCCATGTCCAATAAAAAAGGTCTCGTCGCCGTCGTCCCCCTCCACCGCCAATTTTCCCTTTTACCCTCCCCTTTTAACGACCGTCAGCTTCAGGGCCACATTCACTCATTCTATTCTCTAACCGTGAATAATATTGCATTTTGCAACCCACGCTCTTTTTCTACAAATAAATACCACTGATACACGGTTACCGTCACTCTCTTCTAAACAAATTAATTACAAATATCCAACAGACCTTAAAAAGGGAAGAAAAGTTATAAAGATCATCACTAGTGATAATCACATTCCCTAACGCGAGTCAACTTGGATACCGCCCGCTTTGACGATCTTGAGGAGGATAATCTAGAAACGTGATACCCATTTTTCGATCAACATCGACAACCACAAAAAACCACATTCGAGATGCATGTCCCATCGTTGATCGTGTTGGCCGTCGGCGCCGCCTCTGCCGTCGCGCAGTACCCCGTCGAGTCGGTGACTTCCTCCGCCGGAACCACCACCGCCACCTCGTACCTGACGGCCACCGTCACCATCACCAAGTGCAACCCCACCAACACCGCTTGCCCGCTGTACTCCAGCTCGAGCTCGTCGACTTCGTCTTCCATCTCGACGCCTCCCGCGTACCCCACAAGCTCCGTTGCGCTTAACACCACCAGCTCCATCGCTACTTCCTCCACTTGGTACCCGATCTCCAAGAACTCGACTGTTTCCGCCGGCCCCACCGCCTACCCCAACGTCTCTTCCAGCTACGTCATTCCTACCACGTATGCTACGCAGACCTCGTTGATCCCCACAACAGCCGCAGCTACCCCGTCTTCCCCGGCATCCACCTCCGCGCCTCCCGTCCCGGCCAGCGGAGCCGGCCTCGTCTCCGTCCAGTCCGGACTCCTGATGGGTGTCATGGCCATGGGAGCCGCTTTCTTCGCATAAGCAGCCAGCTTGTAGCGTGGCGCGATTCGGGCATAAGTGGAGGATGACGAAAGACTTAGTTCACTTCGATTCTAATCACATTATTGATTCTCCGGGGAAGGAAGCTTGGGGTTCTTTTCTAAAGGCGGCATCGGTTTGGGGAGGCTGGTTTAATCGACCGGCAGATCCTGGGCGCGTCAGCTCTTTTTTCTCTATGTCTAAAGTCAGGAGGATGTATTCTCTAGTGTTTAGAGCATGCGGGGGAGTTGGGAAGGTTCATGTCTATACTTGAGCAGGGGCGTCGTGTCGATTATACGAGGTCGGCATGGCTAATGACATATATTTTCCATTCAGATTACTTGTGTGTTCTTATGTGATTGTCTTGGATTATTTCCATTTGTTGACATTTGGCTTAAGTGATAGACTATGCGTCTATGTAGGTCAGACAGGTCGGATAACATAATGGCGACATGTATGATAGGTGTAGTATATACGTGAGTAACTATTATATATCGCAATCAACCAGAATAGGAGTATGAACAAAAGCTGACGTTTCAAAGAGTTCCACGATGCCCATATCTGAACCAAACGGATGGGGTCACTCTGATCGACATATTAGAACGTATTTGATTATGGACGTCAGCCTCAGGGGAAGCGTAACAGCAGCATTGCATCCGCACCAATGGATAGACTCCGTGTCTCGTCTGACAACAGGTGCTACGATTGTCCTCCACGTCCCCGGATTACCCAAAAGGCTCCGGAAACGCCCCGGAAGCCCGTACTTAGACCTATGGGGATCTCCACATTTGAAACCGGGATCCCTGTTCAGCCACGAGGTTGAAGGCTTTGGCATACACGGTTGGCGGGGTTAGTACGGACGACGTGAGCATCCTCCTGTGCGAAATGCGTATGTATGTCATACTTAGTAGAAATGAGATGCTTTCAAAGACCAGACATGTATCGATATAAGTAGTTAGGTAAGTACTTAGTAAATTGTTAGGAAAACGAAGCTACACATTGCAATCTGCCATTAACCCCCCTTACATGTGGCTATACAGCCATGTACGTATTCTACTCCCGAACACGATCAGCCATAAAAGCCACAAACTAGATCTCTCCGAGACTAAATACCCCCTTCCCTCGGCCCAAAATTCTCCATTGAGTTATAATTAATCATGAACTTCGTGGCATTGGTTATCGTAGCATTTCTGACAGAGGTCCTTGCCCTCTGCAGCAAGTTTGCTACAACGACTATGCGCGCACGGCTTGCTGGCAAAAGAGAAGTTTGCACCCTTCTGGGTACAGTCGTTGTTCTGATGGTAGCTTGAGGCCATATTGACAAGAGTTATGTGTCGTGGATTGAGGTCGACGTTTATTCACAGTAACTTTCTCTTGGAGCGTAAGCACCTAGTTTGATGTTTAGCATATGAGCTGTCATATTAGGAATCTCTGGGGATAAGAACACTGATGAGAAACTGACCCTTGTATTTTCGTATGGTGTTTGGAAGATGGGAGATTGTGTGTACCATGTGCGTATATGTAAGTCTTACGCGCGTACAGAGATGTGTAGACGAAGGTGGTCTGGCGGAAATAACTTGCTTCGACGGATGCTCAAAGCAGACTTCCACAGCCCTTTTATATCCATCCAGAAGACTAACCTTCCGACCTGTCCAAATGTTTGACCAACGCTATGATCCCCCTCGGCGTCCAACATTTACAGGGTTTCTTCCTTTGGAGGTCAGGTTCTCCCTTATCCGAGGAGCTGTCTCGACCAAATTTCACTTCTTCCTGGATCAACGGTATAATTCCATGTTATACCATACCAAGTATCAACTGTCGTAATCATGGTTACAAGGAATCATACATATGGGTGTGGCCATGTCTAATCGGCGTTTTCTTTTGATCGAATTACGCAACGGTCATCGAAGTAACTTACCTACCCAGGTAGTGTTTCAATTTTTATACGTGGTTTACGAGTAAATATAAAAAATATCAAAGCTAATAGTAGACTCAACTAGTTCTCTTCTCGTCGATCACGTCAAACTGACTCTCTATCTCTCAATGGGTAGAAAAACGAGGAAGTTGGTAGTCAAAAGAGACCCGCGATATCGGCAAGCCTGGAGTTATTCGGAATCATTCGCCTTACGCTCTTCAAGACCCGAAAACTCGGATCTGCAGCGCATCATGGGAGTCAAAATCCGGCGCTGTACCGGCACGAAGTACCGATTTGGAAGTATGATCCTTGGTCGGCGAAACGTCTTACCATGCCAGTCATCAAATGGGGGCGATAGCCCTGTCGATAATCGCAGTCCGTCATCAGAGAATTTTGATATCCTAGTGGCCGACTGGGCGGCTCCTTCAATGCATCCTTAGCCAGGGTATCCCCCATAGTCAGCGTCTCTACACGACCCGCATTCTCGAAGGAGATTGGTAAATTTCCTACTGGCTCCTCCGTATTTGCTCATTAGAGGGACGTCTTAGCCTCTACGATACCCCATGCTAGTAAATAGTCACGCCCACGAAACCATCTTCTCGGCCAGCAGAACCACCCTAAGCGAAACCAGCTGAACTAGATGGAATAGATATGCACGCCATGCATATATTAGCTGTCACATGCAGGAAGCTGTCGTGTCCCTGCCTTCCATACGCGAGCTGGCTGACACACGACCTTCCATACCAAAAAAATGACACTGCTACCCTCAGCCACTCTTCGTCACATACCTTGGTTCTGGGAAGATAGTTGAATGGGTCCGATGATGCCCGTCGACATTAAGTCCTACCCGAGCACTCGGGACGGCGGATCTTCCCTTCAATATCGGGTCCTATGAAGTTCGAAGACCGTCAAGCCGTAGGCGGGGTGTAAGTAAGGATTATGGAAAGGATCCGTTGATTGGCCGCGGAACTACTCCAACTAGCTCCATTCGGGGATAGAATGCGAGAGATTCTTATGAATGAAAGGGTACTGCTGCTTATGTCTTTTAGACACGCGCCTCTTCGGGACCGTTCAAGTTTGCTCGGGACTTGATTTCGGCCTAAAACCTCGCCAAATATAGCCCAGGGGAAGACAAACAGTGCCCACACATTCCGCGTCTATCGGGATTGACGGGTCTCAAAGTCCAGGGGTATGTATACTATTTCCGGCACACCTTAGCCTTGGTAACCTTCAAGTTGTACTATATAGTGGTTGGGTAACCCGAGTTTGGAGTTCTTCTGGGCCGTAAGTTCCTGTGAAAGGCTCGGGAAAGCTGGGTGAGATTTTTTGGACTTAGCATAAGGCTGGGAAAACATCAAATGCTCTCCCATTATTCGGTTATAAGACTTTGGTATTTCTTTTCTGTGTCAAGTAACATGAACATACAGCCACAATGTATATTCCAACGGGAACTTGGAAGAATTTACGCATAGTCCTCCATAGGGGCATACGGGAAACAGTACGGGACTAACCTTAGACTCAACAATATTGCAACGGTTGCAACGTGATACCTCATATTTGTTCCAATATGAAGACTTCAGCAGGTGACTTCACGGCCCCCATTATCATGGTGTTCAAAATTACTCCCCACGTAGCAGGGTCTCAAGCTATGAATATAACTTTGTGCAACGACCAATAATCCTGTCTACTCGACTCCAAAACCACGGCTCGGTCTTCGGATGCCCTGTCACTTGGACTCATTGCAACCCTAAGGGAAGAATGAACAGGGATCCCTTGCTGCGGGAAAATAACAAACCCAACAGCCCGTCGGGTATGTAGTAGTTTGCATATTAGGGTCTGTGTCTAGTCGTAAGTCATATCATATGCCTAGCATATTGACTGGTGTCACACGGGGATTGGTGCCAAGTATCGTTAGTGTCAAGATAGATACTGTTGGATGATTATATATCATATCATTGGAGATATAACTAATCAAAAGGACACGCTAATACATGAAAGAGTTATGCATTAGAACCAACACGAGATTATCGGGCGCTTAAAACTTAATATAACTTTAACGCTTATTAGATAAATTATTATTAAATAAAAACGTAAATTCCTTTTTAAAAGAAAAAAAGAAAAATTATAAACCTTAAAACCTTAAAAAATTATTATATTAATTTTAAAATATTATTTTAAGCTTTTATATTAATTTTTATTATAAATAATTTTTTTTTTTTTAAAAAAAATCCGTATTTAAAACTTATACGTATTACCGGATAAATATTTTCTTATTATTAATTAACATTTTAATTTAAAAATTACCATAAGTTTTATATAATAATTAAAAAATTAACTTTTTATAAACTTATAATTAACTTTTAAACTTTTTTTACGATTTTTTTTAATAAATATTATTATTTTTTATCGTATTATTATTTAAAAAAATACTTTATTTTAATATTTTTATATACGTTTAATTTATATATTATCGGCGAATATTTTAACTTTTTAAATTATTAAAAAATTTAAAATTATTAATAATAATTTACGTTTTTATAAATGCGTGGAATTATTTTTTAAACGATTATAAAGTAATTTTTAATCTTATATTTTTTTATTTTTTAAAAAACGATTTCTTATTAAATTAATAAATATTAAAAAATTATTTATTAAAATTTTTTTTAATATAAATATTTTTAATTTTATATTTAAAAACGTTTTAATTATTTATTAATTTTAAAATTTCGAAATTATAATATACGATATTTTTAATATAAAAATTATTTAATTTTAAATTTTTAATTTTTTTATATAATTACGTGAAATTTATTAATAAATAATTAACACGTATTATATTATTTAAATTTTAACTTTTTTTATTAACGTTTTTTATCGTTTAAATTAAAACGAAATACGTTAATAATATAATATTACGCGTATCGTTTATAATATAATTATACATTTAATATATATAAATATAATAATATTAAAAAATTAAATTACATAATTTAAATAATAAATTTATAACGTTAATAATAAATTTTTATAACGTATTTAAATTATTATTATTAAATATATTTAAAATAATTAAGTTTATTAAAAAATTATTAATTAATTTATTTATATAACGAAATATTATAAATAAACTTTTCGTTTTTTTTATACGAATTTTAAAAAATAAAAAACATTTTAATAAAAAATAATCTTTTAAATTATTATTAAAAATTTATAAATTAACGAATTTTTAATTAAAAATTTTATTAACTTTTTTTATTTTAATAAAATTATTCGTAAATAACTTAAAAATTTATAAACTTATATTTAAATTATTATTAATAAATTTCGTATATAATTTATTCGTAATAAAAACGTTAATACGAAATTTATATTTAATAATATTTAAAAACGTGTAATTTTAATTTTATTATTACTTTTTATTTTTAAACTTTTAATTATTTAAAGTTTAATTTTCTTTAAAACATTATTTAAATATTTTAACTTTAAAATTTAAATAAAAATTACGTTTATTTTAAAAACTTTTTAACGAAATTAAATACGTTATTAATTAATTAATATTTACGTATAATTTAATTTTATTTAAATAAAACTTTTTATAATTAAAATTAATAAAAAAAAAATATTTTTTTTACTTTATTATACATTTAAAACTTTAAAAAATTTAAACTTTAACCCGAATAATTTAAATAATAATAACTTTTAAAAACT